GTTCAAATGGGTCACTCATGTGGGTTGTTCACAGTAATCCTGACGCCGGTTCTCAAGTGCCAGTTAAAGGTATCACTGTTGATGAGACCTGACTAGCCTTCCGTGCTCGATCCACTGTTTTTTATTTTGTTGCATTCCTTTAGTCTGCAGACCACTGACATCCTTGCTAGTCAAAATCCAGTATGAAGAGTGCCAGCCTGTAGTTATTACAAGGCCATGTGGAATACACATTACTGTTCTTGCTGCTTATAGTGGTTCAACACCCTGCTTGGTAGGGGATCCTATTATTTTGTCCTCTGTATGTGCAACCAGTCACTATGTGGGCCTCTACTAACCTTTTGGACGCTAGTTATTCATACTGTAACTACAAGGCTCAAATAGAATCTCATACAACCTGAGAACGTCCAGAGAGCATGTAGAGTGGCCAGCTGCAAAAGATGTCTCTGCATGGCTATTTGTTTACTGAAGGAGAATATATTCTGAAAAACTCAATTTCCTTCCTATGTGTTATCAGATATAAACGTAATAGTGCCTCTTATAGTTAAGTACAGTAAATATAAATGTTTAAAAATGCGCGTCAGTCCTGCGGTTGCGAGGCGGAGAATCGCATTCTCACGGGCTCTCGGCCTGCTCCAACGAGGTCGGGTCGGCTCTTGATTGGACCGGCAATCGGTTAGTCAAATCAAAAGCCCGATCGCTCCCTATTAAAGGAAATTCAAGCGGTGGTGTGGCTACTCTGTCGTCGGGTTCCCCAGCATTTCTGAAAGCATTCCTTAAGCAGCTTCGCTGATCGCAAGCTTTTTTATGATTTAACCACAGCGGCTCAGCGGACAAATAACCTTTTTTCTCACGCTGGCATTTTTTTCTAAGGCTTTTTCGACGGCCCGTTTCTCCAGGCTTGAGCTCGCCAGCCCCATATCTTCGTAATTTTTCGGCTGGGAGCCTCGCCTTATTAATCGGTCTCTGCCAGGCAATATCGCTCCTTCCCTCCCCAGTGGAAAACCTTTCCTTTCCTAAAGAGCGATTCAGACTTTTTTTCCCTCCCCACACGGTTTGCCTGCGTGCATCACCTCTCTCGCTAGTACTCCTTATCTACTCTCTGCTTCACTAAAAGAAACCTGAGAACACGGCGCTCTGAGATCTATCGAAACTTAGGCTTCGATAATTACTACGCTTCACACCTGCTACAGCACAACGGTGTGCGCATAATACTAAAATAGTTCAGGTGGGTAGCTGCGTCAGCATGCGTAGGCTGCAAAGGAACAAGTAATAGGTTTATTCCATGCTGAAAAAAAGAAGAAAGAGAACAGCGTCTGAATCTTTTCTTTTTTTCAGCATGGAATAAACCTATTACTTGTTCCTTAATACTAAAATATATGACAAGAATGAAAAGCTAATGGACTAGTTAGCTAAATATGGAATAAGTATGCTTTCTACAGGAAAGCGGTTTACAGTCCTTGGCCCTTAAAAACAAGCCCAAATACAATTTGATGTTTCTTTGGAGATATTGCAAAAGTGAACATAATTATTTCACCTAGGAAACCTATGAATCCTACACTGACAGGCTGAAGAAACTGATCTGATCCTTTTTAGTCTTGAAGACAGTGAGGGCATCCAGTTGAAGAATTTAAGGCTCTCAAAGATATTGACAATGTTCAGCCTGGAATCAAAGTTCCTCAGAATCAAGAGCCAAACACCAATCAGAGGACACAACTGGAAACGGGTGACACGTCCTTTACATTAAAGGGGTGTAGGAGTCTGGAACACGTTAATGAGTCATGTTGTTGAAGAAATACCTTGATTTTCTTCAAGCAGCAATTAGGAACTTGGTTTTCAACGTTGTTTCTGCTCTTATGCACACACCATTCCATTTTCTAACTGCCTCATCCAGTAGAGGGATGCAGGAGACCCAGAGTTTATTCCTGGCAAGCAACAGGCACAAGGCAGGGTACACCCTGGATGGGACGCCAGTCAATCGCAGGACACAGACACACACACTCACACAAGGACCAGTTTCCCCCGAAGCCAAGTAACCCACCAACACACAAATAGAGAGAACGTCCAAACTCCACACAGACAGCACCCCTGGGTAATCCTGGATACTCAGTTTTGGACAATTGTAAAGAGAACTGTACATGAAAATATACTTCCAATGTCATTATTTTCAGTTCAATGTAATGTTTCGTCACTTTTATTTAACATACCATTTGTTCTTTCTGTGCAGGATATGCACAATTTAAAAAGATGTTGGTCTGTCGAAACTTTAGTTTCTGTGTGCAAAGATTGTTTCCCGACCACATTGATTTAATTGCGCAGCAGTGACTGGGCAGACATAGAAATAGCCAATTGGAAGCAATCTGTAAAAGTTACAGAAATCTTTGGATTTCAGATTATTGATGCAAACACTTTTAACATGGACTCTGTTGCCTAGCTTGAGGCAGTTTCGGTGAACACCGAATGTCCAAATGTCACATCCTAATCCTTTCAAGCCAACTTGAATGACTTTTGCAAAGTTAAAATTGCAAAGATATGGCTCCCTATGAACATGTTATATCAATGACGTTTTCCCTTTCATAATTATCCACTTCCCTCACAAGAAATAGCAAAGATGATGTACAGTTTCTCATTTTTCAAGACTTCCAGTACATGTATTCACATCTACAGGATCGTTCAGATCTCGTATAGTAAGAGTAAGTGACCTGCATTTATCCGCTGAAACATAATTATTTCAAAGAATAAATCATAAAATGAATAATAAAGAGAAGGAATTTCACAAGCAAAATTGCTCCAAATGAACTGCATAGTTTGCAGGTAATTCTTTTTCTTGCTTTATACATTTTTTCAAAAAAAAAAAATAAAGCATTACGAAGGATAATGTGCTACCTGTGCCTGTATAAGATGTCAGATTTGGAAAAGTGCAACTCACCTGAATCGCAAGGCAGTGTGGAGATCTCGGCGCTCTGTGTCTTCTGAGCTGTCTGAGCAATGGGCATCATGTTTATCGGTGAATAAGATGCACCATGAGGCAGACTCCAGAGATATTTCCGCAGCTCTGTGTCAAAAGTGCTACCCCAATGATAATAAAATTCTGTTCCCCTCCCTGTCTGATAAATGATTGTTCCCACTGATATGTGCAAGGTCAGCTTATAAATAAGTTCAGCAAGACGTTGGGAAATATTGCACCATGCAGACAATGGCATAATTAATATAAAGGAAGGAAAAGGTGATTTAGAACAATTGTTAGTAACACAAGTACCACCCATTAAATTCAAATTTGAAATGGCGCATTTAGAGAACTGACTGAAAACGCACCTTATAAGATTTAAAGGGACCTGTCCCAGATGAACAGTAATTAAAATCTAGAATAATGCAAAGATATCGCATTAAAACATGGGCACATGTTAAGTGGGACTGTATGTAAGTGAATGATGATGAAGAATATGTATCAGGACATGATCTTAAAGAACATGACGAGTATTGCTACCCAGTAACTTTTTTTTGCTTTTCAAAAATTCAAATACATTCTGCCAATCGGGTACAAATTCATTCCCTGCAATTTTCACTTCAATCCCTTTTTGTGCTTTTAATCATGTGTATTTCTAGTTTAAAAGTTGTATTCATTCACCTGAATCTTCCAACCATAGCTTGATACAGTGTGAGCTACATATAAGACTCCTTACTAAAAGAGAGACTGCAGTTCCTATTTAATATGAGAGAACAGCCCTTTTCATTGCCAACTAATTTGCAAAATTCCCCCCATTTTTTTTTAAAGTGGAGATTGGATCATGTGTTTTCCCAATGAATTTGAAACAAGCTTTAAATCTCCACCCAATAACTGCGACAGTCGTTCTCGCAAGCAAATCAGGGAATATTTACAAATTCAAATTTGTGGGTTTATAAATAATACTGTACATGGCCATCTATAAAAATAAGTCATCCTTGATGTCTTTTTTTCCATAAACAAAAATTAATGCCAAAATATTTAATACAAAATGCACAACAAAATACATACTCACTGGATAGATTTGAGGTAGAAAATAGAAGCAATTTGCATTTTTAATGTACTGATAATGGAATTATGGTGATTGCACACATGTACTGTATGTGTCTATGGTATAGCTTTGAGCATCTGTGTCAGACCCTGCCTTATACACAAGTTAAATCCAAACAGTGCTTGTGTTATCTTCCATTTGTGCCTGTGAAAACAATCCAGATGTGGACAATTATCCTCTTGCAAACAGTACAAACGATAACACAACCCAAACCACACAGAGCAGGAGAGAAGAGCTATAGAAAACATAATTATATGTTTATTCCGAAATATTTCACACAGACTGCTGAGACCTTTCCAGGCAGGTGTTTTACTTGGTGAAACGGTAAACCAGTTTACAACAAATCATCAAGTATCTTAATTCAATTCATTTCAAATAGAACTGTCATGTAGGATAGCTGTAGTCCTTCTATTAAACACAAGTACATTTACAGCTGTCAACAAACTGGAAATTACATCAGGCAGCAAAGTAGTTACATACTGTACAATACACATCCAACATACTTGTCTGTACTAAAATAGAGGTCTTTAAATTTATAATGTCATATTATTTGCACTTTTAAAATGGCAATTTACTCTACACTTGGAGCATACTTAGCATAGTACTGTAACGCTTCGGGGTTCAGGCGGGCGCCCTTGCCGCATTGGGTCAGCCCTGCAGCGACGGGGGCTCGAACCCAGGACTCCGGCGTCACTCAACAGGGACCCAGCCCAGTGAGCTAAAGAGAGATCTCTCTACAGCCCAGGGGCTGTGGTCCTGCTATCACAGGGAAGGGCGGTGATGTCACCGCTTTGGTAAGCCGGCTCTTACCCAGTGCCTGTCGGCCGTATGCATTACA